ATAGTTTTAGTGATGCCACACTGCCTCTTGAGGGCATTGGCTTTCTTTCTATTTTTTTAAATTAATTTATTTAATTGGAAAGGCAGAGTTACAGAGAGTAAGAGGTAGAGAGAGAGGTCGGTCTTCCATCCGCTGGTTCACTCCCCAAGTGGCTGTCATCGCCGGAACTGGGCCGATCTGAAGCCGGGAGCCAGGAGCTCCTTCTGGGTCTCCCATGTGGGTGCAGGGGCCTAAGGACTTGGGCCATCTTCTACCACTTTCCCAGGCCATAACAGATAGCTGAATCAGAAATGGAGCAGCCTGGACTCGAACCAGCACCCATACAGGACGTTGGTACTATAGGCAGCAGCTTTACCTGCTATGCTGGGCCCCAGCATTGTCTTTCTATGAGACGGGTGCGGGGGGAGGGGGGTTGTGGTGTTGTAGTGCATCAGGTTAAGCCACCACCTTGAAACCAGCACCCCGTATCAGAGTGCTGGTTTTAGTCCTGTCTGCTCTATTTCCTATCCAGCTTCCTGCTAATGCGCTTGGAAAGGCAACAGAAGATGACACAAGTACTTGGGCCCTGCCACCCATGAGGGAGACCTGCATGGAATTCCTGGCTCCTGGCTTGGGCCTGGCCCAGCTCCTGCTGTTGCAGCCATTTGGGAGTGAACCAGTAGATGGAAGATCTCTCTCTCTCTCTCTCTCTCTCTCTCTCTCTCTGCCTCTTCCTCCCCCCTCCCTCTCCCACTCTCTATTACTCTGCCTTTCAAATAAATAAAATAAATCTTTAAAGCAGAGAAAGGGAGACAGGAGGAGCACAGGAAGGAGATGTTATTAGAGCGAGGCAGCCTCACCTGCAGAAATACCAGTTTCCTCCTCAAACTGTACCAGTCCAGTGAGGTTTGCTGTCATGTTTTCATCCCTGAGGCCCAACATAATCAGTGGTTTGGTGCCCACTGATACACAGTAACCAGTTCCAGAAGGTGATTTCCAGTGACTGACACCGATGGGACCACGGTGACTTCTCACTGGTCAGTGGGCCATGGCCATGCCCTTTATAGTAAAGGCGGCGTCTCTATATCTCAGAAAGGGTCTCTACCTCTGTTCTTTATATGAAATATTCCTGTTCCTATTACTGGGTGGTTTCTCTCTCCTGATTGGATTCTTGCTGAGAAATTTCTCTACCTGCCAGAAGTAGCTTGCCTCCCTACAGAAGAAAGGATTATGGCTCTACTAAGAGTTATTGCTGGCCAGCGCCGCGGCTCACTAGGCTAATCCTCCACCTTGCGGTGCTGGCACACCGGGTTCTAGTCCCGGTCGGGGCGCCGGATTCTGTCCCGGTTGCTCCTCTTCCAGGCCAGCTCTCTGCTGTGGCCCGGGAGTGCAGTGGAGGATGGCCCAGGTGCTTGGCCCCTGCACCTGCATGGGAGACCAGGAGGAAGCACCTGGCTCCCGGCTTCGGATTGGCGCAGCGTGCCGGCCGGCAGCAGCTATTTGGGGGGGTGAACCAACGGCAAAGGAAGACCTTTCTCTCTGTCTCTCTCTCTCACTGTCTAACTCTGCCTGTCAAAAAAAAAAAAAAAAAAAAAAGAGTTATTGCTACCTGTTTGTACAAGCATCCAGAGGGTCCATTTCTTGTGGATTGGTCAGGAGTTCGTGAAAGTACAAAAACTCTGATCATTGTTCTTGAAGCTTCCTGATTTCACAAACCAAAAATGTCCAGGAGATGCGAGATCACATACGTGCAGAGTGGTTGACTAAACACGCTACTCCCAGAGTGATCAGTTCTCCTTGGGAAAATGTGGTCCAGGACATAAAATGGGAAGAGACTTGTGAAGGTTGAGGGAAGGTTTGTGAGGAAGGAGGTGGGGGAAGAGTGTGCCATGTGGAGCCAGCAGGACCCCCACAAAGCTGCAGATGTGGCCAGCGCACAACACTCTCCATGGAACTGACGGTCACATGCAATGGTTGGGCAGAGGGGTGGCTCCTGAGGGGTTTGTCTTATCCTGGAGGGTTTAACCGAGCATGGAGAAGTGAGAGATGACTGTCTCCAGGCCACTGCGCCTGAAGTGGATGAATTCCTGATCCAGATGACATCAATACGATGGGAAAATCAAGTTTAAATAAGACTAGAGGGATGGACAGGATTTGGACCCTGCAGAGCTAGTTATGAAGAAGAACATATAAAATAATCAAAGTATCCTTTAAAATGATTTTATTTTAACTGATACATAAAAATTGCACATATTTGGGGTACCAAGTGTTATGTTGACACATGTATATATTGTGTGATGTTCAAATCAGGGTAAAGATACTTGTCTCCTCAAACAGTGATCATTTCTTTGTGGTGAAGACAGGGAATATCATTGTTTCTAGCTTTTATTTAAAGAAAAATAGTATGTTAGTATCATCTGTGTCATCTTCCCATGCAAGAGAACTCCAGAACTTGTTACTCCTTTCTAACCGTAACTTGGTGCCCATTAATCCACCTTCCTTTCCCTCTTTACCCTAAGTCCCTAGGCTCCGGGACAACTACTCTACTCTCATCGATCTCATGAGATCAATGCTTCTAGATTCCAAGTATGAATGAGACCATGTGATATTTGTCTTTCTGGGACTGACTTATTTCTGACCTCTAGTTCCACCCACGTGGTTGCATAGGGCAAGGATTTATCCCTTTTTATGGCTGAATTATATTCCATTGTGTTTATCTGCCACATTTTTGAAATCCACTCAGCCACGGTTGGACACTTAGGTTGTTTCCATGCCTGAGCTGTTGTAAATAGTACTGCCATAAACACGTCAGAGTGATTGCATTTCCCTTGGATATATACCCTGTAGTGGGAGGGCTGAATCATATGGTGATTCTATTTTTAGGCTTTTGAGGAACCTCCCCTCTGTTTTCCACAATGGCTGTGCTAATTTACATTCTCACCAATGGTGTACAAGCGCTTCCGTTTCTCCACATCTTTGCAGCATTTTTGTTCTTTCGTCTTTCTTTTTTTAATTTTTTGTTTGTTTGTTTTAGACAGTGAGACAGAGAGAGAAAGGTCTTCATTTTCCGTTGGTTCACCTCCCAAGTGGCCGCTGCGGCAGGTGCATTGCGGCTGGCGTGCTGCGCTGATCTGAAGCCAGGAGCCAGGCGCTTCTCCTGGTCTCCCATGCGGGTGCGGGGCCCAAACACTTGGGCCATCCTCCACTGCACTCCCGGGCCACAGCAGAGAGCTGGACTGGAAGAGGAGCAACCGGGACAGAACCCGGGGTGCCGGCACCGCAGGCGGAGGATTAGCCAAGTGAGCCGCGGCGCCGGCCTTTCGTCTTTATGATAGCCAGTCTAAGTGGAGTGAGTTAATATCTCATCGCAGTTTTGATTTGCGTTTCCCATGATTAGAGAGGGTGTGTACTTTTCCATGCACCTGTTGGTCTTTAGTATGTCTTTCAGAAAGAAAGGACATTTTTTGAATACTAATATAGCATAAGAAGTCTTTTCTGCAACTTGATTCTGGAGAGGAAGAATGAGGCTTGATGTTCCTTTAGAGAATTCCCCCGTTGTTGGGTCAAGCAGCAGTCTGCTAATTTAAGTGGCGTCCGTATCCTGGTTGATACTTCTCAGCCCGCCCTCCTGTCTCCCCACCTAACAATCAACATTGAAGCAGTGATACCTTCTGTTTTAAAGTAAACAGTGAATATTATCTTTACTTTTATAACCAGTTGTTCCAAAAAGCAGGATACTAAAAGGGAACCTTAAAGCTGGGCCATAAACTCCGCATCTTCAATTACAGAACAGTAAACTTCACCTAGATCGTCTACGACTAACCCAGAGAGACAGGATTGAAGAAGGTGTCTTGGACAAGAGTAAGAAACACTGGCTCTGCTTATTAACTAGCTACTAGGAAGAAACCCAGGGTATTTGTAGCTCAAGGAAAATCCCTTTTCAACAGGCACAGAGAGACCCCATATCGGTCCCAGGTTGCCTTACTCAGCCCGCAGATCACGAGCGGCTCCCCCCAGGGCTGTCCATCTTCAGCGTCTTCAGTCCTAACCTTTCTAGATTTAGAGCCAGAAATTCTCACCTCTTGGGCAAACCAGCAGTCCTGGTGCACACCTCAGAAATGCAGACCCTCTACTCAGGGACCTTATTGTTGCCTGAGGTTATGCCAGTAATTCTGCAGGGATGATCCTGAGTCAGGAAGCATGGCTGGATTCCTGCAAGGACTGCTCACCAGTGGGCTTCAAACCACTTATGAAAAAAGCCACGCATGGATTTCAAAAGACTTTTGTGCCAAAAACAAACTTAGCTTTTAATTCCATTTTTCCATAAACTTTTATGCAGTACCCTTGTATATGCTGGCTTTGGCCACGTGGATTGTGGTTAGCAGCCTTTACTGTATCTATGTAAATGGTCAGCTGCCTTCTGCAAAGGCCAGGTTCGGCGTTCCCGTACATTCCATCTCCCTGTGAGAATCTCCTCTCACCACGAACACTATTCATTCCGTGTTCCACACTTGCAAGCCATTTTCTTAAAAAGTGGTGGCAACACCCTGTGCCTGCAGGAGCCCAGAGCAAGCCCCTGGACATCCTGATGCCTCCTCTTCCACATTTCTGAACCTTACGAGTGTGCTTGGAGAGGCCAGGTGAGCACAGGGTCAGGGAGTGTGGAGAGCAGGTGAGAACAATACTGCAATGGGACAGTCAGCTCCTCAATGGCGAGCTTGCCCTGGTTGCCACACTAATTTCTAGACGATGGTCCTTGTATGTTGTCATGTGTAAAATATCTCTGAGCCCACTCACTACCTGCCATCAAAGATCAATTGGAACTTACTCCAAGAAAGAACCTTTTAAATTTTTGTTTAGTTACAATAAAATATAGATGTAAAAGAATCAACTTCCTTTTCTGTATCTGTCAAGCTGGCTTTGTAGGCTTGTTTCCAGACTGGCTGACACTACCCAGCTAGCAAAAAATTTTTTTCATCACAGGTCCCTTGTTGTCACTATTAATGTCCATGACTCATTCCTTTTTAGATTACTTTTTATTTGAACTTGTTTTTTTTTTAAAGATTTACTTTATTTATTTGAAAGGCAGAGTGACAAAGAAAGAGAGAGAGAGAATCGATCTTCCATCCACTAGTTCATTTCTTAAATGGCTGTAATGGCCAGGGCTGGGCCAGGGCTGGGCCAGGCCGAAGCCAGGAGTCAAGAACTCCATCCAGGTCTCCCATTTGAGTGGCAGGGACCCAAGCACTTGGGCCAGCCTCCACCGCTTTCCCCAGCACATTAGCAGGGAGCTGGATCCAAGATGGAGTTGATCTGGTGCTCAGACGCGGGACGCCAGCATTGCAGGGCTGGCAGGGTGCGGCTTCACCTGTGGCGCCACATCAGCCTCTCATTTTTAAAATTAATTCATTTGAAGGCATTAAATTTTTCTTCTGTGTATCCCAGGAAAAGAACTCAGTAGCAAAACCTGAGCCAGGGCTTTTGTGCATTGTGCATGAGGTTTAGTGTCCTTCTACAGGCAGGCAGGGCCAGAGTGGCAGAGTTCACACAGTATTTCAAAGTAGAAAAAACATCTACAGGTGCCCCCCTCCCGCCCCCCAGCAAGCACTACACGGATGCAAATTCCAGTGTGTGCTCTTGAAATGCAAGTCAGAAGGGGATGAGCAGAAGCACCAACACAAAGGGGCCTTCAGGTGACCTGTAATATGAGTCCCTGCTCAGCCACAGAGTTTGCAAGGAGACTCACTGAGGCAAAACCACTCAGGGCAGAGAATTATCTTGGCTAGGGACGTGTGCAGCACGGACGTATGCAGCGAACATACCACTAGAGTTTTGTTCCTCTTCTCATACCATTTAGTAGCTCAGATCTAAAACTTTTTGACAGTTTCCGAATATTAGGTGAAATTTCATTTGTAAGGGGGTTGAAAGAGAACAAAAATTTCTAATCTACTTAACTCCAGCTTTATTCACCATTTTCCTTTTATTTGGTTAAATTATGTCAAGGTTGAGAATTTTTAGGTTGTATACATTATGGGGATGAGCCATCTAGAGCGCAGAGATTCCTGCAAGACGCTTCGTCAAATGATCTCATCTCCCTCGTGATCTTTTTATCTCACCCATTTTGTTGGGGTTCGGATTCTACCGAGTTGGGATGAAATCAGTGTATTCTTCCCACTGCGTAATTTAGACTGCTTTGAAAGGCTGCAGCTACCAAGCTCAATGGCGGATTGTGAACTGCATTCACTGTCATAACTGTGTGGCACGGTTTTCTTCTGGAACAGGGGAGTAAGGATGTCGCGCTAATCAGTTCCACGCCATAGGTCTGCTCCTGGTGGACTGGGGGGGGGGGCAGAGCCTGACACGGAAGCTGGCAGAATGCCAGGGTCTGTGCCTCTAAAGGAACTTGTAAGAAAAGACGGTTTTAAAGTTGATAAAACTGATACACCTGTGTAACTGTAAAACCGGGCAGAGCTGACTCTGAGACGGGGTGCAAGCCCAATCAGGTGGCTTTCAGGAGACTACATACCTCTACCTGACTTCTCCAGTGAAACTGACGTACCTATGAGGGTTTCCCAAGCTCTCCTTGACACCTGCTGTGCTTAGTTCCAGCCCACAATCCCCTCCCTTACTATGGCCTTCTTTCTTAGCTCCTTCTTCTTCCTCTAGAGAACATGAGCCCATCTCAAATCTATATAATGCCTTCCTCTTCTAGGAAGCCCACCCTGATGAGCCTGTGGTCACATCCTTCCCCGTCCTAAATATACCGCAAGAAGACTTTTCATGCTTAGAAATACTCTTCCATACTGTCTCTTCTAGTGTAAACTGTTTGCAGTGTCCATGTAAGAACCTCCCTTTAGAAAAAGGCATTGGGTCTGTGTACAGCCGTGTGACAAGCGGTAGGTACACTGTTATGCTGCTGGTACCCACGCTGAGTCACTAACTTCAATTCAACCCAGCCATCCTTATCAATCTTTGTGAAGTTTGTTTATAAAATAACAAAACAGGTTGATTGCTTAAACTACTAATTTGAGAGAAATTAAAAGCCCATCCTCTTTCCATCAGGGGTGGGGGACCAGGTTTCCATCAAGGGCCCTGTGGAGATTTATAACATCACTCCTGGGCCACGCAGAAGCATCAGTTAGCCTGCTATAGGTTTATTGAATTTCGAGTTCCGCCTGTGGTTGCCTTGGCAAGGCCGGACCTTCTGATTTTGCCGCCTTCTGTGGCCCCAGGGCCAGCAACACCAGGTCTGGCCCTGCACTATGGAGGGAAGAGAGCCCACTGCCCCTTCTTCAGGACTGCAGTATCACTTGTCACCTGCTGCAAGCAAGCGCTATCCGTTCACTCCTGTTACGAGAGCTCATAATAAAAGCAAATAGGTAAATTTTTGTTCTGTATTCCTCAGGCTGATCTACAGGCGTTGAGACTGGACAAATGTGCCCCGTGGAGCGAACACAGGAGCCCTGAAGCAGAGGGCAGGGGAACAAGCTGGCTTTGCCCAGCCCGAGTCAGTCCACCTGGGTACTATCAGAGGGCTGTTCACCATGGCGACGGGAAAGGACGTGCGGCGAGCAGTGTGACTTGGGCCACTCTAGAAAAGGCACTGAAATAGGAGCACTGAGGATCCAGAACCGGTCCCGGCCCCAGCGCTGTGGTGGGCCGCCCGGCTAAGGGGCCCCCCGCCCGGCTCTCTCCTCCCTGCCGCCCTCGCTGGGTGGCAGATGATTCACTCTGTCACCTCGGTCTTGGCATGCCTGCGTCTGGATGTGCTTCTCCGGAAGTCTTGCAGTGTACGCATTTGAAGGGTGCCCGCTCAGACCGGCGGTACCGCGTCCTGGGTCCACATCCGAGGCCGGCCCGCTCGTGGGAATCGCCCCTGCGCCAGAGCGGTCGCTCTCGTGTCCTGTGTGGCAGGCGGCCGCCGGGGAAGGGGCTTCGGCCTTGACCTTGGGGCACCCACGGCAGTGCGGAGACTCGCTTCCCAGGGTCCTCGGAGCTCACCCCCTTCACCAGTGGGATGCGGAGTTCAGGTTCAGCGGCCATCGCCTCCTCCCGCCCACAGACCAGAGGCGGGGCCAGGCCCCCCGGTTTTTTTTTTTTTTTTTTTGCGTGGGTGGGGGGACAAAAATTATGCCATCTTCCTCAGCCGCAGGTATCTCCTCTTACCAGAAATAAATATTTAATGCGTCCTCGGGTCATGGAATACAGAAAATTCAACGGACACTTCACTCGTCCAGAAAACAGAATCCTGGAGGCCTTGTGTGACTATTGTGAACCGGGCAGGGTGAAACACCTGGCACAGGGCCCGGGGGCTGCGGTTACTGCGCGCCCCCCGGAGGGTTGCCGGACAGCTCCGCCTCCTCCGCGGACCCCACGCTGCCATCCGGGAGCAGCGTGGCGCGCACTTTCCTCTTCTCCTTGAAGCGGCCAGAGCGCGAGACCTTCAGGTTGCGGCGGCTGCTGCCCGATTTGTCCCCACTCTTGTCCGGCTTTTGGGGCTCGCCGGCGCCCCCGAGGACGTTGGGGTGCTGGTTCTCGCGCGCGCCGCCCGTCCAGTCTGGGCTGGGCGGCGCGGGCTCCCCGAGTGCGGGCGGGGCGGGCGGCTGCGCCTCCGCAGCTTCCTTGCTTTTCTTCCTGCTGTTGGTTAGCGACTTCCACCAGGGGCCCGAGCTGCCTGTGCCACCGCTGTCAGCCATGGCTGGCCGGCCGAGGGGCCCGGGGCGCCCCGGCTCGGGAAGGGGCTCGGCGGGGACGACCCCTCTCCACCCCTTCCCCGGCCCGGCCCACGCGAGATGCCACTGGCAGCCGAGGCAGCGCCCTTGCTGGGAAAGAAAACAAAACTTGGTTACTGGGTTGATGGAAATTACGTGCACCCCAAGCCCGGTTCCTCCCCCGCGCTCTGCCTGCTCACAACCCGCGGGGCTCCGGGCGCCTTCAGGCCCGAGCTGCCCAGCCCGTGCTCCCAAGGTGGCTACGGAGGCGCAGCTTCCAGGGCGCCCCCTCCCGGCCTCAAGGCGGCGTCTTGAACTCGCGGCCTCAGTCTTGGCATTTTGGGGCAGAAGCTCTGTGGTCTGCATGCAGAAAGGACCCCCGGAGAGGGGCCCAGACACCTGGACCAACCCGGGTCCCCAGGGAGAATGGCCCATCCTGTCCACACCGCCTGACGGTGACCACCCGGCCCAGAGTGGCCTCTCTTCAGAGGAGCCCCTAGGGGCGTGCGTCCTGGCTGGGGGAGAACCAAGGTGGACTAGACCACAAGCACTTGCAGTTCCCCCGGGCAGTTCTGCTCCGGGGAGAAGTTACATCCCAGTACGAGAGGGACAGGCTCCTGCCGCTTTGTGTTCTAAATCCTGCTGTTACTCACTGGGCCTCGTGACTTTCAGAGAAGCACACGTCTAGACTGAACTTCCCTTGGAAACCGCCCCTCCCACGCTTCCTTTTACTCCCGACACCAATCTCGCGTCTTAGGGAAGCCGGCCCCGGCCGACGGCCGTGATGGGGCCACAGGACAAACGTCCTCTTCCCTTAATTCTGTATTAAAATATGCAACTAAGTTAAAACAGCAACTCAGTTCTTGAGGACTTGAACCACAAGTGAAGGGTTTCTCTTCCTTTCCTTGCGCGCTACCGGGAACTCAGGAACGATGCGCTCCCCGCTCCCGGCCCCCAGCTCTGAGTGCCCCCCTCTCTCGCGGATAGGTGCAGGGCGCCGGGGCAGCGCGGGGGCGCTCAGCGCCTGTGCGGGCGCCGCCCCTACGCGGCCGCCGCACTCGCTCACGCTCCATCGATTCGTGAGGGTGCGGGGAGGGGAAACTGAGTGGCGTCGGTTCTCGGACGTTCTCCCCCTAGAACTGCGGGCCGCGGGAGTCTGAGCGCCCACAGGAGGCGGCCCGGAGGCCTCGTTGGCGCCCCAAAGCCGCGCCGCCGGCTCCTCCCAGGACGCCCCGAGTGCACGCTCTGGCAGTGACTTGAAAACAACAATAAAAGAAAAAAACAGCCGTTTCGGTTAAAAGGCACCGACCCCTTCAGGCGCTAGGGGCGGCCCGGCCCGGCCCGGCCCGGCTTGCCACCACTGCGCTCCCAACTACTTTGCAGAGGGGCCGAGAACCCCCACTCCCCAGGGGGCGGGGGGCTGCCCTGATGCTGCTCTCTGCCCTCAGCCCCTCAAAGATCGACTTCGTGTGCACCCAAAGGCTTTGTGGGAATGGCGCAAGGAAAAGATCGCACATGACGCAAAGGTACGCGGAGCGCAGGGAAGCCGGGGTCCGCGACCCGGAGGCGCGGGACGCCTCCCAGGAGGACACCCCGGCGCCAGGCTTTGTCTGGGCGGACGCAGAACCACCCGGGGTCGCTCACCTGCTCGGGCTTCCCAGGGTCCCGCAGCCCCGCGGGCACTAAGCGGGATGCGCCGGGGCCACCCGGATGCTGGGGCGCGGCGTCCCCTCCGGGCTTCTGCGAAGTGTGCCTGCGGGAGTCCGCTCAGCCCAGCAAGACCAGGGCGCGCCCGTCTCCCCTGGCACCTCCACGTTCAGCGCGCTGCGGCGGCAGCTCGGGGCGGACGGCGCGGAAGGCGGGGGTCGCAGGGAGGCCAGCCTCGCCGAATGGCCCCGAGGCTTCGCGGTTAGCAGCCTTCACTCCTCGGCTGCGCGCCTTCTCCCTGCTGGGCGCCCCCGGGAGCCGTGGAGAGCCGGGACCTCAGCTGCTCCCTGTGGCGCCTTGGAACTTCCTACGCATCCGTAGGAACGGGCAAAGACATCTGCCCACCTGCTGGTTATTCGCCAAGTGGTTCGAGAAACCCCGGGGCAGCGGGGGAGGGGGGCAGGCTCCAGGAGGCGGCCTCGGTGGCCACAGGTGCAGGTGGAACTTGGCGTTCCCGCCCTCCGGGGCTCGAGATTGGATCAGGTTGCAGACGTGGCGCCGGCCCAGAGGTGTCTGATTGGAGAAAGCCGCGCCGCGCCTTTCACCGCCCCGACTCCTCCCGGCGAGGACCCCGGCCGCAGGTGGGCTCCGTTGGGGTAACGCCGCCGCCGCCGCTCGACCTCTGCCCCTGTCCTGTGGGTCCTAGGAGCCCGAGTTCGGGAACTCGCAGGCGCTGATTCCCAAGCGGGTCAAAGCGTTGCAGGCGCCGGGAGCTGGAAGGCTGTAACATTCACCGGCTTGCTGCGTGCCCCCCGGGCGCGGCCCCAAGCTCCTTCTATGGATCAACTCGTTCTCTCCGCACGGCCGCCCCAGGAGGCAGGTACAGTTATTAAACTCCCTGGGCCGCTGTGCTCGGGGTGGCAGGCTGGTTCGTGGCGGGAGCCGGGTTGGTACCCAGGCGATCTTCGCTCCACGTGTCGCCACCGCGTGCGGGTCCCTGGCTGTTCACTGGGCTCCCAGAGGGTGTGAATTTCCTTCTTTCTTGCCAGGAGGTACGTGGACCGCTGCCTGTCCCCAAGGGAGGCAGAAACCCAGCCCGAGCCACGGCAGGGAGGGACGAGCGACAAAGCGCGCTGCTCTGAGTTGGGGGCGCTTTTGAGCCCCCCCCCCCCCCCCAGCAGGGTCTTTGGTTAGTTAGCAAGGTATCGCCCTGGGCGCTTGGGCTGAGGAAGGCAGAGGCGCTGCTTGCTCCGTCTTGCAAGATGGTCTTTGTTTAATCAACTATCTGGATTCCCTTTGGGTTCATTTTTAAGGGTACCTCCTCCCCACCCCACCCCCACCAGGGACCGTGAGTGGAGCCACGGATGCCTGACTACCTCTAACTCACCTGTGGGGTAGAATCAGTAGAGGGACATTTTTGTAGGGTTTGCTCATGGAAGATGGTCACAGCCCAGGTGTGACTAGTTGATAGGACCACCCTCGCTCAGGAGTCTGAATTTGTGTCAGGGGCGCAGCAAGGTGCACTTGAAAGCGATTGAAGGTTTTTTTTTTTTTCCAGGCTTATTTTATTTATTTGAAAGACAGAATTACAGGGAGAGGTAAAGACAGAGATCTTCGATCCACTGGTTCACTCCCCAAATGGCCGCAACTGAACTGAGCCAATCCAAAACCAGGATCTAGGAACAACTTTTGGGTCTCTCACATAGGTGCAGGGACCCAAGGAGTTGGGTCATTCTCCACTGCTTTCCCAGATGCGTTAGCAGGAGCAGCTGGGACTCGAAGGGGAGCCCATATGGGATGCTGGTGCTGCAGGCCAGAGCTTTAACCCACTGTGCCACACCTTGGGCCCGGGTGATTGTGTTTTCAAATATTGGTTGGAGTTAGTTTTACAGCATCCGTGGTATGGCACCAGGGCTGAGCAGTCAGGCCAGCGACTGGGAGGGGGGAGTGGGATGGTCCATCCTGGAGCTGGAACTTTACAGCTGGAGGAATTGCGGCCCTCAGGGGTGCCCTTGGGGGAGGTGTCGTCACCCCTGAACCCAGGTGACCTAGAGCCACCCTGCTACTGCTGCTACTGTGTTTGTTTTCCTAGAGCTGGGTTGCTAATGCATTCGTTTTCCGTGTGGGTGTAAGAATGAAGAAATGGAGGGAAAGAAAGGTAGCACTGCCCAATGGCGCGTCATCCAGGCCAGCATTTTCTTGGTAAATGAACCTTTACTAACTGCTGAAATAGGAATTTGGTTCTCATACCCCACCCCATCTGCAGTCAGCAACCTGGAATGTTTCTGACGTGTTCCGTGGAGTTAATGATGGCACCTTACAAACAAATCCTGCACCCAGTGAAGACATTTAGATGGGGACAGAAAGAGGGGGACGAGGAGTGGGGGTGGGGATGGATGTGGGTCCTGGACAGGGGGAGTAGCCGGTGGGAGCCTCGAGATGTGAAGGAGCTTAGGATGCCTGAGATGCAGAGAGGGCTGGTGCCGGCTGGGGGCCCAGAGCGAGCCCATGTGCTCTAGATGGTTCTGGGAAAGTGGGCGTGACCAGCCCATGTGGACCATATACCACTGAAGAAGGGGTGGCATGATGAGATTTTTCATCCAGCTGGCCCCCTAGTTGCATGTTAAGACTGGTGGTAGAGGGGAAAGTGTGAGGCTACAAGGAAACCAGCAACAAACAGCGGGAGTCGTTCATGTGGGGCGTTCTGATCACTTGTACACTGGTGCCAGTGGGGAAGGTGGAGAGAATTAGAGGAGGTAAGAGAGAGAGTGGAAGTAGGATCAGTAGGCACTATTTTGTTTACTTCACAAACAGGAGATTAAGTTAGACGGAGGCTTCAAAGGGAAATAGCTTCCCAGCCTTCCTTGCAACTGAGAGGGGCCATGAGATTCAGCCTCAGCCAATGGAGCTCTAGGGAAGACTGCAGGAAATACTTCTTCCCCAGATAAAAGGTGGAGCCCTCTGAAAGAAGAACATCTTTTGCCACAAGGACAGTGTGAAAATGTGATGTCTGGTATTACAGCAGCCCTCCTGCAACAGTGAGGCAAGAGGCATAGGACTAAAAGGCAACATGCTAAAGACGATGGCAGGGGAGCGTGGAAAGTGTCTGGGTCCTTGGTGCCACTGAGTCCCTGAGAGAACACCTCCCTATGACTGAGTTCTGTGAGATAATATGTACCCTTATGATCTCCCCATTTAAACACTGTTTTTGGTTACTTGCAACCAAGGGCATACTTGGTACAAACTCTAAGGGAAGATGATGATGTTTAAAGGGGGAAGAAGTGTTTTTGCATCAATCTGAAAAGTTCAAAGAAAAAAGAAGATTTAGTGAAAAATGATGGGAAAAGTGTTAGACACAGAAAATCCATCTATAAAATGAAGCACTTCCATGGAAAAGACTTACAGAATGCGTAGGTAAACATGTGTGCAGTGCGTGGATGGAAAAATAGGGGTGAGTCCAGACGGGGAGGCTCATCCTGTAGTAACCTGATATATATTTTTTAAAGATTTATTTATTTGAAAGGCAGTTACAAAGAGGGAGAGGCAGAGACAAAGAGAAGGAGAGTGAGAGATCGAGAGATCTTGTGTCTGCTGGTTCGCTCCCCAGACAGCTGCATCATGCAGTAGCCAGGGCTGGGCCAGGCTGAAACCAGGAGCCAGGAGTTTCATCCAGGTTTTCCGTGTGAGGGCAGGGGACCAAGTACTGGGGCCGTCTTCCGCTGCTTTCTCAGGCACATGGGTAAGGTGCTGGATCAGAAGTGGAGCAGAGGGGACTTGAACTGGTGCTCATGTGGGAGGCTGGCGGTGCAGGCAATTTAACCCACTGCGCCACAGCAACAGCCCCAGAAATTTGTTTAAAGATAATTTTTAAAACAACTAAGATTTATTTTCTACTATTTTTGCATCAACAACTGTTTTTAATCTATAAAAATTCTCCTAACCATCTCATGCCATAACACACACACACACACGCACACACGCACACACACAGGTTTCGTGTTACCCAGATAATTGTGGATTGTGACTGTTGCGCAGGAATCTACTATATGGCTCTATAAGGAAGGAATGGTCTAGTCCTATGGTTCTGGTTTGCTAAGTTAGACTTCATATAGTGTAGATGAATTCAAAAGAAAAAACTGATCCAGTTAGCAATAGATGACCCTTAATGTTATGCTATTTAAATATGTTTAGGATGGATATTACTTATTTTTCCAAATTTATTTTCTTTTTATTTGAAATGGAGAAAGAGGAGAAAGAGAGTTTCCATCTGCTGGTTCACTCCCCAAATACCCACACAGTTGGGGCTGGACCAGGCCAAAGCCGGGAGCCTGGAACTCAGGTTTCCCATGTGGGTGGTGGGGACTCCGGCCCTGGAGCCATCCCCTGCTGCCTCCCAGGGTGGCCGCTGGCAGGAAACTGGAATTGGAAGTGGAGCTGGGTCTTGAACTGAAGCATTCCACTAAGGGAGGTGGGAGCCCCAAGGGGTGTCTGAACCCCCGTGCCAAATGCCCAGCCCTGCTTCTAGTTCTTACTGTTATTTTATCTTGCCATTATTATTTTTCCAAGTGTGTTGCCAACTTGGGTAAAGACATTGCTTTCTTTCTCTAAAACAAGGTTGCTGCTTTCCTAGGGGAACCTCTCAGGGCAGTGGCACTGCCGCCGAGGACAGCAGCGAATGGACTCAGAGGGCAGGCATTGTGTACTAGACCTTAAGGTAAGGACAACGCAGCTTCAACCTGGCATTGCACAGGAGGCTGGGCAGGGGGCTGTCTGCCTTCTAATCCTCTATGATGGGAACTTGGCAAAAGGAAATGTAGTGGGAAATTTCCAAGAAGTAGAGCTAGTCAGAATGACAAAAACAGAAGTCACCTGTGCCCTTTCTTGCCCGCAGCAGCCACGGCTCCCCACGGCTAACTTTTGGAGCGTTAGTCCTTGGAGTCCTCGTGCCCCCTGGTTTTTCCTGTTCACGTTTTCGTTCTTTGCCGTGCCTGGCCTTGCTTTTGCTTCCCTCTCTTCCCACTTTGCTCCCTCCCTCTGTTCTTTCTTCTGTGGACACTTCCGCCCTTTTAAGAGCAGGCCTGCCTCTCCCCTGTTCTCGGTGGGGTCATCCAGGTTCTTGAAGCCGGCGGTTGCCTTCCTCCTCTCTGCGAGCCCCTTGCTGTCAGGACAAGCTGTTACAGATCTTTTCTGTTTTGCACATTTCTGCTGAGCACCTGCCCTGAGCAGAGCTGATTTCAGGTCCGGTTTGAGCTATCCCAGCCGGCTCTCCCCACCACTAGTCCCTGTGTCTCAGGAGTCCCTCTGACAGGTTCAGAGCTTAGAGAGTTATCTGTCACCTGCTTCAGCAGGTGGTCACCAAGTCTCTGTGTGACAAGGCACTCGGACCTCCCAGCTCAGCCATCCCACAGCCAGGTGGCTGGGGGCACCTTTCAGTGGGAGCACCTCTTGACCCTCCCTCTCTCTTCCCTGGAGACTGGCCGTCTTCTCTCGTTCTGGGCTCTGAGATGTGCTGGCCTCATAGTCTCGCTGTACTGCACTCCAGTCTGACACCTGCCCATCTCTCCCTAACGTAGCTTCTCGCAGGTTCTTGGATTTAGAGGACAGCAGCAGTCCTCATCTTTTTGGTCTATTGGCAGCGTCAGCATTGTTGAGTCTTCCTAACTATTCGGGGGCCCGCAATGTGCTGCAGTGGGTTAAGCCGCTGCTTTGGGAGGAAGCCTGCATCCCATATCCGAGTGCCTGGTTCCAGTGCCAGCTGCTTCTGACCCAGCTCCCTGCTAATGCACTGGGCAGCAGCAGATGATGGCCAAAGTACTTGAGTCCCTATCACCCCTATGGGAGACCTAATGTTGGCTGTTGCGGCCCTTTGGGGAGTTAACCAGTAGATGGAAGATCTTTGTTTCCTTTTTCCTCTTTCTCTGATGCTCTGCCTTTGAAACCAAAATACAAATCTAGAAGATGGCCCAAGTCCTTGGGCCCCTGCACCCATGTGGGAGATCCAGAAGAAGCTCCTGGCCTCGGATTGACACAGCTCCGGCTGTTGGCAGCCATCTGGGGAGTGAACCAGTGGATGGAAGACCTCTCTCTCTCTCTCTACCTCTCTCTGTAACTCTTTAAAATAAATAAAATAAATCTTCAAAAAAAATTCAAATCTTTTTTTTTTGGGAGGGGGGCACTGTTTCAGTTTCTTTTTTCCTGACTTCTCCTCCTCTGTCTACATTGCCAACATATCTTCTGTTTTCCCAGAAATATTATCTACAAGCTGACATCTATTTTTAAATTTTTAACTGACATAAAATTGTAGATATTTATGGGATACGGTGTGATGATTCAATGTGTGCATACCTTGTGTAGTATTCAAGACAGGGTAAACATGTCCGTCTCCTCATTTATCATTTCTTTATCCTGAAAAGGCATATTTTCAGCTGTTTGTGAAGCCAAACAGCTTGTGGCAGGAACAGGAATCAAAAATCAGGCAGTTGGGGCTGGCTTTGTGGTATAGTGGGTAAAGCCACTGCCTGCAGTGCCGGCATCCCATGTGGGCACCAATTCAAGTCCTGGCTGCTCCACTTCCCATCCAGCTCTCTACTATGGCCTGGGAAAGCAGTGGAAGATGGCCCAAGGGCTTGGGCCCTTGCATCCGCGTGGGAGAGCCGGAGGAAGCTCCTGGCTCCCAGCTTTGGATCAGCACAGCTCCAGCCGTTGCGGCCAATTGGGGAGTGAACCATCGGATGGAAGACCATTCTCTGTCTCTCCTCTCTCTGTGTAACTCTGGCTTTCATATAAATAAATAAATCTTAAAAAAAAAAAAAATCAGGCAGTCACCCTGTGGAGCTGGAGCTTTGAAGCATTTGTGCTGTTGGATTTCTGGAGCTTCAGTCCTGAGTCCTCTTCCGAGCCTCTTCGCCCATGCCTCTGGCTTCAGGTACCATTTACTTGAAGGCAGCTCTTGAATATATCACTTCAGCTCAGGCCTCGCCTTCAAATCCCAGACCTGAGTATCTAACCAGTTCCTTGCCATTTCTTCTTGGCCATCTTCAGTGTACATCAAGCTGAATGAGAATAGAATATGATCTCCCAATATTGTCTCCTGTTCCCCTAACCTGTCCTTACTCTGGAATCTTCTAAGTGGCTGGTGCCATAGCGAAGCAGCAGTACAAACCAAAGCGTCTGCTTAGTTGGCTCAGGCTGCTATGATAGAATACCGTAGAGCAGGAGGCTTACAGACAACAGGAAGTTGTTTCTCGTACTTCTAGGGGCTGGGAAGTCCAAGGTTTGCCTGGTGATTGGGTGTCTGGTGGGGCCCATCTCCTGGATCGTGGGTGGCTCTCTTCCTGCTGCGTCCTCACCTGGTGGAAGGGACGAAGGAGCTCCTGGGGTCTCTGATAAGGACCCTAATCTCATCTGGGAGCTCAGGCCTCAGGACCTTGGTCATGTCTTGGTGTTCTTGGATATTACTGCGCGTTCCTCATTTTCTGTAAAAGTTTTTTTTTTTTTTTGGTGGGGGCAGGAAAATTTAAGGCCTAGGACAAAAGTGTCTTCACTCCAGAAACAGTTGTTAAGAGCTCAGGGGAGTTGCTAGACCAGAGCTCTTTAAGCTCATGAGGTTTCTTTTGGCAACAGAAATGGAAGACCGTGTGAACACCGGCCCGTAACTGCCCCCTCTCAGAGACAAGTCCATTCATTTCCTTTCTCGCCACTCCTCAGCTCTTTTCTGTGCCAAATGTTCACCCAGATTCCTGGGCGTACTTTACTTCTGGTTTGCCCGCCCCCTCATTTGGAAGTCATCAGGCCCCTTGAGGGCGGAGCCTAATAAGGGGAGGATCTACTATTAGTGCAACGAATCGCTGTCCCTGTGGCTCCAGGAGGCGCTCAGAACTGGAGTTCCTTTTATGCTCAGTGGCTGCCAGCAGAATGCACACACATCGTCCACCCTTCCCCTGGCAGAAGGGCGTGCTTTAGTTAGATTGTAAATGGTTTGCTTAGGTTTCTCCTCTTGACTTACATTATAATTTTTTTTAAAGGTTTTTATTTATCTGAAGTAAAGTTACAGAGATAGAAAAGTCTTCTATCTGCTGGTTCGTTCCCTAAATGGCCAGAATGGCTGGGGCCAGGCCTATCCGAAGCCAGGAGCCTCTTCCAGGTCTCCTAGGTGGGTGCAGGGGCCCAAGTGCTTGGGCCATCTTCCACTGCCCTCCCACGCAGCGAGCAGAGAGCTGGATTGGAAGAGGAGCTGGTGGGCCATGAACTGGCGCCCATATGGGAGGCCGGAGCTGCAGGCAGAGGATTAGCTTACTATGTCACAGCCCTAGTCCCTATAATTTTCTTGTTTATCTATTATCTTAATCTCTCACTAGAAAATGAGTCTCATTTAATGATCATTTATATGATACTTTGTATGTATCAGGTGTGGTTCCATATAAACACTATGTATGTATGATATAAATATTAACACATTAAACCCTTCCAAAAGCCTATGAAATACACAGGGTCATTATTATAGATGAGGCAAATGAGCCACTAGGAGCTGAAGTATCAGAGGCAGCCTTTGACCAGGGAGGCTGGCCTGGGGGTTCAGGAGCCTAACACACACACCACAGTGCTATGTGTGTCTCCACCAGCGTTCAGACAGGTCACTGTCGAATCCTGGCTGCTGGCCTGGTGCCAGCTGTAACACTTCTCAGGGCTGCTGAGTGAGTTTCCATTGAATGCATAAACATGAGTGCTCCATTGGTTATCCTATGACAGACTTGTAAGAAGAAATGTAGTAAGAGTGGCAGTGAAATACAACTCAGCATTGTCGCGCATAATGAGAGCTTGATTTTCTTTACTTGTGCCGTGGGAGTATGGAGGTAGACCGAAGCATCTGAGAAGTTTTTGCTTCTGTGTTCAGAAAATTGGCAGGACGCTCTGCTTTTGTGATGCCCTTGGAAGGAGAAGGAGTGAAGGTGGGATGCAGGTGGGGAGGCGTGCTGTGGTGCTGGAGGGTGGCTGCAGAGATGTGTTCAGTATTGTACTTAAGGAATGAATGAGTGATGGAGAGAAGCCAAAACCCTGGAACAGGTCTCCGCAGGGCAGCTGGACTCCATCAGGAAACAGTTCGACTTCATTATTCGCTGGTCACTCGTCACCTTCGGCAGCACTGCTCTCTCGCTGGTCACCTGATTCCAGGTCAGGCCTGGGGTAGCCTCGCTCCTTTAGATTAAGGTGGCCTGCTCTCGGCTGCGGTTAGTTTTCCAAGTGCTGGCTTGGTCTTGCCCCGTTTGTCAGGCTGTAGTTTGTCTTTTGTGGCTTGTCAACGTGTCAGCCCTCATAGAAGCATCCTGTGCGCAGGTGGGAGGTGGGTATCTGATCTGATGCAGGAAGTGAATCTCGGCTTCCTCACCTGTGTCAAGGCCAACATGAAGCGCACACAGTTGGCAACACTTAACATATAGTTGCTTTCCTGGGTCACAGGCTGGGCTCGCCCGGCTCGGGGAGGCTGGCCCTACTCGGAGCCAGCATGGGCAGCTGTCCCAGCCTTGCCCCTGTTACACACATGATGGAGCTTCCTTGCACAGTGAGAGGAGCTGCTTCCGTTACAATATAGCACAGCTGAGTTTGCCTGCTTTCTGTGGTCTTGTCACTTTTCACGGCCAGAGCCACGAGAACGATAGAACCTGCTGGTCATGCTGGTCATTTCTTCCATTAGAAAGCTGGAGAATTTGCTCCAGGTCACAGGACCTTAAGAGGTGGAGCTACTGTGTCACTAACACAGCGTCCTCGTGGGACGACATGAATCTCCTATTGCACAGAGTTAATCATTAGATCGGTAAACACTTGTTGATATCAAGATTGTTTCATCAACAAAGCTAGCAGTCCTACTTGAAAAACCCTAATTACATCATCGCTTCTAGGTTTCCCCACTTAAAACAATGTTGAGTCGTTTGTGGCTGCTTGCATGGTAAACCAAGCACTGAGAACACAGCTCAGCCTCCCTCTGGGCGCTGTGGGAGAGCCATGAGGGTTGGGTTGAATTACCACTGTGTAACTTAGGGAAGTGACTGAGTATCTGGGCTCTGGGCTCCTTGTCTGTGAAGTGGGGGTAATTCTACTTCCTGGGTGCCCACCAGGGTCCAAGTAGATGATCCATTCATTAGTGGCTGCCACAGAACAGGCTCATTTCCCTTTGGCTAATTTCTTTCACTGGCTGTACAGGACAATTATATGAACAGTATAAATCAGTCAATGTCACATGTTTTGGGAAAGCAATGGTAGACAGTCTCTTTTTTTTTTTTTTTTTTTTGATTTATTTATTTGAAAGGCAGAGTTTACAGACACAGATCTTTCATTCTCTGGTTCATTTCCCAAATGGCCACAAAGGCCAAGGCTGTTTCAGACCAAAGCCAGGAACCAGGAGGTTCTTGTAGGTCTCCCACATGGGTGCAGGGGCCCAAGGACTTGGGCCATCTTCTGTTGCTTTTTCAGGCACATTAGCAAGGGGCAGCTGGGATTCTATCTGGTACCCATGTGGGATGTCAGCATCACCATGCCACAGCACCGGCCCCTGGTAGAGTCTTTTATTTATTTTTTTTTTTTGACAGGCAGAGTGGATAGTGAGAGAGAGAGACAGAGAGAAAGGTCTTCCTTTTGCCATTGGTTCACTCTCCAATGGCCACCGCGGCCAGCGTGCTGCACCAGGAGCCAGGTACTTATCCTGGTCTCCTATGCGGGTGCAGGGCCCAAGGACTTGGGCCATCCTCCACTGCACTCCCTGGCCACAGCAGAGAGCTGGCCTGGAAGAGGGGCAACCGGGCAGAATCTGGCACCCCGACTAGAACCCGGTGTGCCGGCGCCGCAAGGTGGAGGATTAGCCTAGTGAGCCGCGGTGCCGGCCTGCCCTGGTAGAGTCTTAAAGAACACTGTTGTTGTTGTTTGAGGGGCAGACACTGTGACAGTGAGCTGAACTGCTGCCTGCAACATCACTATCCCCTGTGGGAATGCTGCTTTGAGTCCCTGCTGCTCTGTTTCCAATCCAGCTCCCTGCTAATGCACCTGGGGAAGTAACAGAAGATGGCCCAAGTACTTGGGCCCCTACTACCCATGTGGGAGACCTGGATGGAGCTCCAGGCTCCTGACAAGCTTGGATCAACCCTGGCCATTGCAGCCAGTTAGGGAGTGAAACAGCGGATGAAGGATCTCTGTTTTTGTATCACTCTGCCTTTCAAATAATACTTAATTAAATTTTTAGAAGAATGTTGATTGGGCCCAGCGCCTGGCCACCCTCCCCAAGAACATCCTAGTAACATTCACTGTAGAATATTTAATATATAACCATTAGCCATGAATCTGTTTTCAGGAACATACGTAATGATTAAATCTAATGAAGCAGAAGTTTTCTGTATGTGATTTAAGAACGATATTTATCCTTCCAGCACCCAAATTACATTACCTGTAGTTAAAGGAGGAAGGGCACTCAGTTAAGCCTGAAAGCAACATCACGAGAAACGGATTAACAAATTGCAAGACAAATCCTTAGACTGAGGGTCACTGCCAGACTGCGGCCAGGGCACAAGCCAGAGAATATGTTGAAGATGTGCCGCCCCATTAGCTCTGGAATCTTAGTACAGAACCTGCGTGGCTGGATTGCAGCAGAGGAGGAAACCGGGCAGGAGAAGGAAGCCCTGTGCCTCTGTGTGACACTGTTGCCTTTCTCCAGAAACCTGTTCATTTTTATTACAGAAATAGATGCCCGCAAGTTTAAAGTCGAGTGTTATTAAAGGATTATGGGGAATCGTGGGGGTTTCTTCCTCCATTCCTTCCCTTGGTCCCCCCCCCCCCCCCCCCCGCGCTCACCATGTTGGCTTTTCATTTCTGGCATTGTCCTATCTCCCTATGTCTAAATAATCTGTGCCTCATGGTTTCTCTTGATTTATCAGTGTTAGACATTCTGCAGACTTTTCTCTTGTGGTGTTTAGGGATTCATCTTTCAGCTTCCTTTCTCCCGTGTTCCCACCAGAGAATTTATTATACGTATTATATTACAGCCTTTCTTTACTTATCCATTCCATGTTTATAGTGCTGTACCCATGCAAATACCGTTCAGGCAAAGCATTGCAGTGTGCAGATAGCTGTTTATCTTCTGACTTTTTGTCTCTTCCTGAAGTTAGGTGATATTTTGGTTTTTCTTTTAATTTTCTTATCTTTGTCCCTATTTTCTAATTGTTTCTTTTGTAAATTTTTATATATTTATTTTCCTTTTTATTTGAAAGGCAGAGAGAGAGACAGACAGGCAGATAGATGGATATACAGAGATTTTCCATCTACTCCCCAGATCCCTGCAATGGACAAGGCTG